CGAAGTCTACTAGTTTTAAGTGGGACTGCTGCTGCTGTGAGATAAGTGCGGATCTAGTGACCTATCGTTTGTGGTCGTGACACTGCCGTTTTTAACGACGTACTTCCGGTTCAAATCTATTGTTTGTCCGAGCCTATTTACTGCGTGACGGCGTTCCTAGACCTGATAAGGTGGAGCTTACTGCTAAGTCTAGACGCCGGTTGCCCGGCGCGTCTAAGGGTGACAGATTGTGGGCCGGTCTTTATTTAACGCAAACTGTGAAGTAAACAGACCTCCGTTGAAGGACTAAGTGTTCGCGAACCATCAGGGATGCGCAGGGTAGAGGTCTAGGAAGTCGAAGACACAAATGTCGCAAAATCCGCTCACGGCACAGTAAAATGGTGAGCACAAGATGCCTTTTTACGATCAGTCTTACAACCTCCGTTCAAAGGCTAATCTGAGGACGAAGGAACATAAATTGGGGGTTAAAAACCCGGGACCTCCCTGCTATGCTGCGAACTTCGACTCACGATACGGTGTCCATGGCAATCGATGCGTACGGACCTCTGACAGTGGGCCGAATGGTAAATATGCAAGCTAGTCTCCTTGAAGGAGAGAACTGGGCATCACATATTGGAAAATCAGAGCTCTTCCTGCAGCAAAAATGCTGAGTCTAACCACCAAGTGAACGTTGACGCAATGTAACGTGAACGTTGTTTGGCTCACTGAGGGGAGCTTACCAGATCATGGTGTAAGCTGAAGCAAAGTGTCAGGAGCCGATGCCGCATGTTGATGATAAACAGGAAGAGGTCTCTTCTGGCAAACGTTGGACAGCTTTCAGGCGTGTCCCAAGGTGTGATAATGCGGTCGTAACGGAGGAGTTTAATGGCCAAACGGTTGTGCGGATGACAAAATTTCGACAATCTCATTGCCCTGAACCGTTTGACGATTTAAAATGCCCATTTCCGATGTCTTAGCCTATACCACCTTGTTACCTGGAGCGCAGGCGGTGGCCCAATTGAAAATGGAGTTGGGCATATAACTTTGTAAGTGTATTGCGCTCAATCGACGCTAGACGCCGTGCGGTGAGGACGGCGGCAACGAATATGGCTCCAACCACTTTCTTGTCTGGAACTCCGTTAAGACTCAGACGAAGTGATGTCGAAAAGACACGGCAAATGGGCAAATCACACGGTAGCTATTTCCAGGATGCCGTTACTACCACTGGTC